GGTTTTCTTTTGGGAAAGCAGGGGGAGCTCGGCGGCGGCTGGTGAGTCCGCCAGCCACCCTCGCTGCAGATTTTCCTCTCTCTTATTTGCAGGCTCACCATCGCTGTTGAATCCTGAAGCAGCGAATGCCGCAGGTTAACTGGCACCGCCTGGCAAAACATTGCTATGCCGCACCTTCGGATTGCACTTTTCTTTCGAAGGCTGTCTTGGGAAGATGCTGGGAGAAGAAGAATGGCTGGTGTCTCACCCGGGGTGGATGAAGAGCTCAACCCCAGATCCCGCAGGGGAAAGGTGAGATGAGAAGTGGCAAAAGCCAGGCCGGGCGGAGGGCTGCAAGCCAGCACCGCCTTCCCAACGTGGCCCAGGGTTGGGAGAGCCCAGCCCGGGAGCAGCGCGGCCCCGCGAACCCCCTTCCTTGCCAGAAAGGCACCGGCTCTGCCAGGGCGAAACCGAGATGCTGCACCGAGACCAGAAAGCAGAAAGCCCTGCGCGTTCGTCAGGATGATCGAGTTCAGGGATTTCAGCCGGACCTCGGAGAATTGCAGGGCTGCTGAGGTTTCCCGCTACCTGGCATTAGCTGCAGAAGCTGCTGGTATAAAATAACATGCAGCATCTCCAGGTGAGCTGCCCCAGAGCCCAAAGTGCCGGTTCTGGTCCCTGATCCGCAGGAGCGTTACCAGCAGCCTCTGGCCAGCGAGAACGCGGCCCTTCGGAGCTGGCGCGTTCGGGCCTCAGTCATGGTTGAGGTCGTTACAGCTGGTCGGCCGGGTTGTGCTACTGTGTGTAAAGGAGAAGGAGCAGCAGGGGAGCACGAGATCCGAGCATCACTTGGCCTTCCAGGAGCATCAGGTGCACCATTAGGTCATGCCTCCTAGCACCGCAACACAACGCGACACAACGCAATACAATGCAGCGCAGTGTAATGCAGCACAGTGCAATGCAACACACCGCAACACAATGCGACACAACGCAATGCAATGCAACGCAGTGCAACGCAACCCAATGCAATGCAGCGCCGTGCAATACGACACAACCCAACGCAACACAATGCAACACAACCCAGTACAGTGCAGCACAGTGGAATGCAACGGCTGCCGAGCCCAGGCACAGATGGCCAAGTCGTGTGCATCCCAGGGCCTGTGAGGCGGTCAGAGAGCCGATTTTGTCTCTTCAGGGCTTGTCCCTCCATCCTATGCCTCATGCTGAGTTGATGGCTCTAGGGTGGCCAGGCGACACCACCAATATTTCACTCGGTTCCTGCAAAGGAGCCCGAGTGCACTTTGCGTGCAGGCAGCAAGGAAGGGATGCGGCACAGGTATCGTGTGCGGGAGGGAAGGACTGGATGTGGCACAGTGTGGTCATCACCAGTTTGTCCTCGAGATGACCTCTGCAGGCCCAGCGCTGAGGTCTGAAGGCAGGGGGCTGACACAAAGCTGGGCATATTATATTCTTTAATTACTGTTGCAATCATAACATTTAAACGCTGTCAATGAGAGATAGCTCATAACCGCAGGCTAGAATCCTTGCCACTTGGGGCTTGTAACTAAAACTGCAGGATTAATTTGATTAATTGATAGAATTATTTTCCAAACTACTCTTTTGTTTATGGAGGCTTAAAATGCTTGCCGCCTGCACCCTCCTGGTGTGTTGCAGAGTGGAGATAAAGCGGCTGAAAATAATTAGTATGGCTTAATTTAGGGAAAAAAATAACCTCAAAAGAATTTTTCAGGAAATTTAAAGCAGCACATTTTACTTTGTTTTGGCAGGAAATATTATGGAGTTGGAAATGGGACTTTTATGTTTTGTCGCTACTATATTTCACGAGGGCTGCAAACCTACCGGCGAGAGGGGTATTTCACGCCTGTTTGTGACTGTGCCTATTTTTCTTCCGCCTCCAGACTCATTTCCAGGCGAGGCACCCGGAAAACCATCCCGCTAAGAGCGACAGGTTCAGCTGCAGGGCATGGGAGCCCGGGGGGCCGGCGCAGAGCGGGCTCCGAGGGCACCCGTCTCCGTCGCGCCCCATCCATCGGGGCTCTTCAAGGCAGAGG